GAGGTACAAAGAACTAACGCAGGACGCAAGCGGACGGGGAACACAGGGAGGAATGATAACAGAAAGCTAAAGGCTAGATAGGAAACTAAGATCAACAATAAATACAAGGATGAAACACTGAATAACCGGAAAATAAATAACCTCATAAACCCAAATCATGAACCTTACTGAAAACTCACTTGTTTACTGTCACTACCTAAGATTTTGTTGCATTGCGTAAAGGACTTGGTATGAAATAAGGAGTTTGTCACTGAAATCATATACCTGTCTGACCAAAGTAAATGGATAGAGTTAAACAAGCTGCTAAAATGATTTGTTTTGCAGTCACATTGTGTATGACTTAAAGATGTTCTATGAATGTCCAACGGAAATCTTCCAGAAGTTTCACGTATCATTGTATATCTTTAGCCTCAGAGTGTTAAAACAAGATACCTAGTACATTTTGTAGATTCAAGAATCCAAATTCAAGTTTTGTCTCTTAACATCTTATGTATGAAAGAATCAATGAAGCCTCTTTGAAACCCGATGAGTGAAGAGGTCCCAGCTGCGATTCTGAGGTCAGTCCTCAGCTTTAGCGCTCAGAGATTGTCACCAGTTTTTAATGTCACGCTTTGCCATGAACCAAGCGACGCCTACAGATCCACAAGTGACTCGTACAGCTTGACGTTGAAGCGAGCAAGCAACTGTCATGATTGTGTGTCTCAGCTACAGAATGACACCATTTACAGGCAGATGGACGCAGCTCATGTTCTACACTATTGTATATGCTGTGGTCTGTGGAGAAGCATTGTTCTCTTCAAACTGGCTCTGATCTCACCATAACCCTCGAGCCCCCTGATCAGCGTGTGCGCACTGAGTGGCTATATGCAAAAAATCACTATTCATGATTAACTTAATGGATATTTTTTACTTTTTAAAAGTCTGTTTGTCACAGTTGAAACTAATTTCCGTTATAATTTTCATTCCAAACTCTTTGAAAGTAGCGTCCAGGTAGCTGGTCTGCACTGTGTTGGCACCTGGCATTGAAGAAGATAAAAGTGGATAGATTATATTTCCATTTTCCACATATGTGCAGGCGGAGGGAGGCATGGAGTCATCTCACAACCTTTTCTCTGTTCGCAGAGGGCCTGGAGGAGGAGCTGACCACCTGGTCGGGGTCTGGACTGGTGGGCTTCCCTGCTGCTGCAGGTGTACGTGTGTCTCCATGTTGGGCGAGTGTGTGAGTATATGTATATGTGTGCATGAGGGTGGAAATGCATAATTGTTTCTGTGTGTGCCTGTTTGTCTATGTCCATGTGTCAGGTCGGGTCTTCGACTCCACCTCTCTTAGACATCTCATTCTCAGGGTGTCTGGGGCCCAGGTCTCCTCATGCCTCTCGACGGACCAGTTTGCAGGAACAAAAACATGCTAGGTAAGTGTGTTTGATCTCATGATTCATATAATACTGATGACGGATTTTTAGGCTAATAGTTAGGCTAACACACTTACCTCTCATATTTCTTTCCTCACAAAAGCGATAGATCCTCCACTTCTTGTGTCTCCCAGTGCAATTCTTAGCATATTTTGGTTCCTGCAACTGGTCCGCCGGGTTATTGTCTTCCCAGAAACACTTCCCTTGTGCTGTTGGAAATCAGTTTTTTCCCGTTTCAGTTTTTGTTTTTCCTATTTCCGTTGTGTTTTGTGTGCCTCTGCAGCATTTTTCTTATTGCTGGTGTTTTCTTAAGTTGCAGTCCATTTGGCCTCTCAGGGCCACCGTATTATAGGGTCTACCTTACAATACAAAGCACCTTGAGGCAATAGTTTTTGTGATTTGGTGCTGCATAAATTCTGATTGCTACAATGCCGAACAGGACAGGCTAAACACAAACAAACAACCAAAAACCTTTGGTATTGCATGATCCAGCCATTAATTAATTCACGTTCACGTTTCCATTTCATATAAGAACATTAGCGGTGCAGTTAAATAATCATTTTATGCTTTAAGTTATAGATTGCAAGCGTCACTTTATGTCTTCTATCTATTTTATTTGGTGCAAGTTATTACTGTGTAGGAAGCCTGTAAATGAATGTGCTGCCACACTGCTCCCCCTGGTGGATATCCAAAACATTACCACCGATTTTCATAGATACTTAGCAGCTTTACTACTCACAGTTGCGTCATCTACATCATGAGCGAGGATATTATTACCGCTGATCATCAGCTGATAATCAGTCAGGAATCGTCCGGGCATCCAACATGGTCCTGTCAGGGACGAGGCGGCTATTTTAAGTGGCTTTATCTGTAAATAACTCCTTGGTGGCCAAACCCCTGGGGTGGACCAGGTTGGCTCTGAGTTCCTAAAGGCTCTACATCAGGGGTGTCCAACTCCAGGCCTCAAAAGGGCCAGTGTCCTGCAGGCTTTAGATCTCACCCTGGGTCAACACACCTGAATCAAATAGTTAGTTCATTCACAGGCCTCTGGAGAACTTCAGGACACGTTGAGGAGGTCATTTAGCCATTTGAATCAGCTGTGATGAGGACACATCTAAAAGCTGCAGGACACTGGCATGGAATTGGACACCCCTGCTCTAGATAAAGCCTCTGCAACATCATGTGCAGATCTGGGGTGGTGCTTCTGGATTTGCAGACTAGGATGGTGGTCTCCATCTTTAAGATGGGGGACTGGAGGGTGTGCTTCAATGACAGGGGGATCACATTCCTCAGGCTCCCTGGGAAGGTCCTCCGTTAGTCAAAACTTGGATACATGAGGAACAATGAGGTATTCACCAATTGAACTCTTTGGACTCCATAATAAACACTATGTTTGGAGGTCAACGCGCATTGTATATCACCCCCAAAATTACCCTGCAAAGAGTAAGCGGGCACATCATGGTGTGGGGCTGTTTTCTTAGCATATGGCACTGGCAGGCTTCATTTAATTTAAGGAAGGATTACTAGAAAAATGTACTGAAACATTCCTGAGAAAAATCTGTACCAAATGTAGCAGGATGATGAAGACAATGATGACAAAACACAGCCACAGAAACTCTCAACTGGTTTCAAGGAAAGAAATATAGCTGCCAGAATGACCCAGCCAATCACCTGACATGAATCAAATTGGAAATCTATGGAGAGAACTAAAGCTCACAGTTCACAGACGGTGCCTTCAGCGTTTGAAGCTTGTTTGTGTGGAAGAATGGCCAAAATCATGCCTGAGCAATGCACGTGACTAGTTTCTCCGTACGGGAGCCATTTTGAGACATTCATGTTCAAAAATTGCCAGATTTTAATGTGAGAAAAAAACCCTGAAAGTGGTACAATGAACCGTTTTTCCAACAACAAAAGAAATCTTTAGATTGGTTTAAAATTACATTCCTCTTCAAAATAGTTCAGACTTTTTTTCAGATATTACTTGTTTATGAACACTCTCATAACACACTTAGTAATGTCAGTGCCATGAAAGTGACTGAGCACTCCAAACGCTAACAGAGATGAGCATGTTCTGTAGAGACATTAGATGTCATGTGTTAATATTTGTACACAATTCTTACAGCATAATATGCTGAGTTGGACCAACATATTTGCTAAGTTTAACAAGCTCTATTTCAGATGAAGTAAAACACTTTGTGAAAGGACGGGAACAGTCCCCGTCCAGTCTGGTACTTCAGTAGGATGCTGAAGGTACACAATACAGGTGTATAAACAAAATGTATTTTTATTATTAGTTTTATTAACATTTTGCCCACCATTTGCCATTTTAGAAAGGGCAGGGGGCTGTTATTTGCACTGGTGACCAGAGATGGGCAGTAACGCGTTACTGTAATCTGATTACTTTTTTCAAGTAATGAGTAAAGTAAGGGATTACTATTGCAAAAACGGTAATTAGATTACCGTTACTTTCCCGTAGGAACGCTGCGTTACTGCGTTACTAAAACCGTGATTTTTTTGCGAGAATGTCTCACGACAGTGACGTAAGCGAGTGCGACGTTGGTGACAACAGCTGTGTGCAGATCAACAATGGATCACATATCGATTGTGGGAGAGAGTATGAGCGTGCAGCGTTTAAAGCGTGGAAGTACTGACCTTACTTTGAGTTTGATTCCATAAAAAGTGACAAAAACATTAGTGTCCGCTGTGCGTGGGAAGAAAACTTCTTTTTACAGCAAAAAAAACCCCTAAACTTCCAAACAAGCACCGAGTAGCTACGACGTAATGGGAAACTCACAGAGAAACTCGCGGATTCTTCAACTGACCGCGGCACACCTGCACCAGGGCAAACCTCCGCTTGCTATGCAAGTGAAAATAGAGCAACAGGAGGGCTGAGTCTTTGACTTTATTTATTTTCTGCTGTGTTTTACTTGCATCTATTTGAAAGACTGAGTGTAAACACAAAAAATATTTTATTTTATGTGCTGGAATGTGCAGAAAATAGGTTTAAATGTTAAACTAATTTATTCAAGTCAGAGAATGTTGCATATAATTAAATGTTTGCTTGATGCATAAAATTAAAAGATTAAAACTAATAAAACATGTTTTAAAAAGAGACTTTTCCATTTGATTACATTTTGTATGATGGATTATGCAGAAAAAGTAGAATTGGGCTGAGAGATCTATCGCTCTATCACCTCTTCAGGTTGTAAATCGTGTTTTTAAAAAGTAACTAAGTAACTAAGTAATTAATTACTGTTGAAAATAAGTAATCATTAAAGTAACGGGATTACTTTTTGGGGGAAGTAATCAGTAATTAGTTACTGATTACTTTTTTCAAGTAACTTGACCAACACTGCTGGTGAGTAAATAAGATAGTCACCGTGCTGAGGTCTGTTCCACACGGTTACGTTTCGAGCAGAATTCACCAGGCAGCAATGTGTTAAAATGGGATTATAAGTGTAACAGTATGAAGTTTTGGGTTCAACAAGCCGTTTCTACAGAAGAATGGAAGCATTTACTGTGACAGAGGAGTCCTGCGCTCCGACACGACAAGCTACAGCGCGGCGTAGCTCCTCCTCCTGGGGGATGATGGGGACAGTATCTGACAGTTGTTGCTGCCGAGGCACGCTGCTTCAGTCCCAGCAGCGGGTCTTTCAGAGGGCACAGGATCCTAACAGAAGTCGCGCTCAACCTTTTCTTCTTCACAATTTACACCGAAACACGTGAGTAACCGCTGCTCCGACTGTGTGCGTTTAGAGAAACAGCTTCTCTAAAGCCCTGTTCTCCTTACCTGTGCGCGTCTGTAGCAGCTATGGTGATTGAGTTCAGCTGATCACGAGTGGAAGTTCGCAAAATCGGCCACATATCAGCTGCTTTGTGGATGCTGTGAGGTGGAGGGGTTGGTGATATGGCGCCTCTGGAGAGGATTTGTGTGTCGGACCATTCTTTGCTCTACAGCTAAAGTTTAGTCTCCTTTTACACTGCTTAGAAACTCATCTCTTAGAGTCTCTTGTAGTAAACCCCACAAAAATGAAGTAAAATAAAATACAAAAAATAAACGTCAGAAGTTTTCTTGCTGCAAAGTTTGTCATTCAGAAATGCAGTGATCTGTTTAAAGCCTGAGCAAATGTGGTCCAAAGAGAAACAGAAGGCAGGCTTGATGAACTCATTGGACTCTGTTAAAGTGCAGTTTTATTTATCAGGTACAGTCAATATCTGGGATCTTTTCATGGCCAGGCATTTATTCCCAATATTCGCTAATGCACGGCTTACTATTTAATGGTTTAAACTGAGGAAGAAACTTGCCTTTATAGTATGCATACAGTGTACTTAACAGGATACTGCATTTATAATAAATCTACTTTAAATTAAAGAATAAATACGTTTTTACACCAGCTTTTATGCTTGATCCATTAATATTGTAGGTAAATAGAAGTAGTTTTGCAAGGTAATTACTGAGAAGTGTATTTAAGCAAATTGGTAAAAATAATTAATTTTTTTTTAACTAAACAAAAGAAATGTGTGACATCATCATATCCATTTGTGGATAATTAAATTTACAGTGAACAAGCCACCAATACTGCATCTTTTCACATTATGCTGTACTTGATTTGGGGTATTTAGACATTCTTGTGTCCAGTCCTGTCCAGTCTAATGGTGGATGATGGTGATGCTATATGCAAGTATGATATAGCTGGATTAGTTGAAAATGGGCTTGGGCAGGAAAGGAAACAATAGCATGTTCACTGCAAAAGGGAACAAGCATGAAGAAATCAGAGATCAGAAAAGCAGCACAAGTATAGACAGTGTTTGCAGAGTTCAGTGTGATTTTCACACTGTTTCACTTCACTACAAAGAAGGTGCTTGTATGTTGTGATCTTCTCAGCAGGAGTTAAACTAAAGGACAAACAAAACAGATAAACACTGACCACTGAAACGTGTAGCCAGAAGCTTCAGTGCACTTTCACTTTAATTCTCCAAGTTCTCCATCTTTACTATATTACGATGTTTAGGATGTTTTGCAATCATGCTACACACTTCAGCAAACACCGACAAATTAATAAATAATAAATTAATGTTCACAGTGTACTCTAACTCTCACTGAAAGCAGAGTGGGCCGTCTGTTTGAGGACATGTTTCTGTTATAGATGAAAATGTGGGTCAGTTTGTTTTTTCCACGGTGGCGTCAATGCCCAGCCAATATTTTAGCTGCCTGCTCATCAGAGGACCTTCATCTCTTTCTCACAATGTGAGACAATAGATCGGTTCAGCTCCAGGGCCAGCTCCACGATTCACTTTGGTGACTTTCCATATACCACGAACAGAAAAGCCTGTCTTGTTGGATAAATTGGACTGCGCTGGATACAGCTGGAGGTTAAAAGTCTAAATGACTGTTAGATAAGAATGTTTTCATCTCTTCGAGCTCTGCAACAGTTTGGCTCCATTCTAGAAAGATTTGATAAGAAGACTTGGGGGGCTCACAGTTTAACTCAGTACTACACCTCTTCGGTGTTCAATTCAATTCAATTCAATTTTATTTATATAGCGCCAAATCACAACATAAGTCGCCTCAAGGCGCTTCATAGATACAGAGAAAAACCCAACAATCATATGACCCCCTATGAGCAGCACTTTGGCGACAGTGGGAAGGAAAAACTCCCTTTTAACAGGAAGAAACCTCCGGCAGAACCAGGCTCAGGGAGGGGCGGGGCCATCTTCTGCGACCGGTTGGGGTGAGAGAAGGAAGACAGGATAAAGACATGCTGTGGAAGAGAGACAGAGGTTAATAACAGATATGATTCAATGCAGAGAGGTCTGTTAATACATAGTGAGTGAGAAAGGTGACTGGAAAGGAAAAACTCAATGCATCATGGGAATCCCCCGGCAGCCTACGTCTATTGCAGCATAACTAAGGGAGGATTCAGGGTCACCTGGTCCAGCCCTAACTATATGCTTTAGCAAAAAGGAAAGTTTGAAGCCTAATCTTGAAAGTAGAGATAGTGTCTGTCTCCTGAATCAGTGTTGCATGATAACAGAAGGGCTATATTTCAAACATTAACCCATAGTGAGTCCACAACTTGTTTTTCCTTTTTGGAATTGCCTTAGAGCTAATTATGGGATTACCCATTTTTAGCTCCCTCATTAAAATTCTACTCCACAGCTAACAACATGTGAACATGAGTTTAACCTCTAAAACCCAAGAGCCTTTCTGAGGATCCTGATTGAAAATGACACGACCAACATGCAATTTAAAAACTCTGTATATCAAAATAAAGCCATAGAAATTTTTTCCTCGCCTAATTCTTTCTGTATCTTATAGAATATAGCCTTTTTGAAAACATGCTGCAGTAGACATATATACTGACATTATGTCTGCACAGACTGATGCTGCTGAAGTGAAACAGAGCGAAGTTACAGAGGTTTTACTCAACACATTTGGCACAATCTGTGAGAGTTGTTTCTTAAATACTGAATAGCAGAAGTTATTTAACTTTATTGACATGCCTCCAAACAATGCTTGTTTTTGAATTTTTTTTTATTACCCACACACAAATCTCTGTAACCGGGCATAAAATTGTTTTGTTTTGTTTTTTTGGCAAGGAACTGCTCTGAGGCATTGTGGGAGATCGAGTTATTCAGTTAATGCCTTTTAATTGCGGTGGATTTAAGTTTTGGAAGCAAGACAGCACGGGTATGAAAGAATTCATACTAATGTTTTTCAAACTTGAAGCATCGTTTTGGTCATGTTTTGCTGCTGGTTCAGTGAATTTTGATCTGAGGGTGACAAAACTTGCACGTTTGGCATCTGTGAGATGTCTCCTTTGAGTAGAGATATTGCTTGTTGGTGTAGTAGTATGCATGTAATATGGCCTTTGTGCCTTTTTCATCAGTTAATTTTGGAGTTACTACAAACAGGGAGCATATGGGATGATTTGTCTGTTCTCACTGGGTGGTGCTGAGGTCTAATCTGGCAGTAGCTTCTGTAATCACAAAGAGAACAGAATCATCACAAACTGAAATGTGATGATTGTCACTCAGATCTCAAATAAAGCTGATCCTTTCCTCGCACACTTCACGATCTTAAGTTCTGCTCTTACATTTTTTTCAGTTCTCCTGACAGCTGACACGTGGGCTGTTTGTTAAGAAAGATATAGCCTTATATACTAAAAGGAGAGCTGCAAAGATGAGATGATGGAGGTTTCCAGTCTCTCTCTATAAACAACCCCGGTCGCCCTATAAAAGGGCGACCGGGGTTGGGAAGCGTATCTGTAACCGGAAGGTCGCCGGTTCGATCCCTGGGCTCTCTGTCCTGGTCATTGTGTCCTTGGGCAAGACACTTCACCTACCGCCTACTGGTGTTGGCCAGAGGGGCCGATGGCGCGATATGGCAGCCTCGCTTCTGTCAGTCTGCCCCAGGGCAGCTGTGGCTACAACTGTAGCTGCCTCCACCAGTGTGTGGATGTGAGAGTGAATGAATAGTGGCATTGTAAAGCGCTTTGGGTGCCTTGAAAAGCGCTATATAAATCCAATCCATCATTATTATTATCATTAAAACAAATACAAATTTCCACTGGGTGACGTCTACGGCACTGACCTTAATCAATGTTTGACCTCAGAGTGATTTCTTTAGTCAGTTTTCGTTTTGCGGGAAAGTAAACGCTGGACTTCCTCTTAGCGTTTGCACAACAGAGATATGCAAGTTTCTCCGTCTCTGCCTGTCAAAGCTGTTTAGATGACGTTGCATCCCAATTTAACGGCATTATGGTAGTAATTGTAATCAAACCTATAACCTATACCTGCTAAAAAGCCATCCAATGCACACCTGCAAAGAAGTCAAACCATAGATGTCCATACATTACACTATGTATAATAATGAGTAAAGACACAGGGAGAATGTATATTTATTGAACTGTATTTAATACTTTGTACAAAAGCCTTTGTTGGCGATGACAGACTCCTGTATGGAGAAACCAGTTGCATGCATTGCCCAGGTGTAATTTTGGCCACTTATAGTTCACAGTCTTCAAATCCTGAAGGTCCCGTTTATGATTTCGACCTCCTGTAACGTTCCCTCAGACAGCCAGGTTGAAGGAACCTGTTGCTGAAACTGCTCTTCAGATTGTTGTGCATGTTATGAAGGGGGTGGGAGTCATTGTCCATGATTGCCAGCAGTCTTGCCAGCTTTCTGTCACCGATCACCACCTCCAGCGAGGTGAGCTTCATGCCAACAACAGATTCTGCCTTCCTGATGAGTTTGTTCAGTCTGTTTGTGTCCTTTGCTTTGATGCGTGCACCCCAGCACGCCACAGCAAAGAAGATGGTGCTCGCAACAACAGACTGATAACACATATCGAGCAGCCTGCTGAATACATTGAAAGATCTGAGCCTTCGTAGAAAGTAAAGCCGGCTCGAACCCTTTTTGTAGGCAGCGTCCGTATTGGCAGACCACTTGTGATCCAGTTGAACTCCCAGATACTTGTAGGATGTGACTGTTGCACAAAGGGGAGGGTCGGGATCTGTTTCTGCCAAAGTCCACCACCAGCTCCTTTGTTTTGGCCACATTCAGCTGCAGGTGATTCACCTCACACCATCTCATGAAACGATCAATCAGTCCTCTGTACTCCTTTTCCCATCGCATCTCCACACTTCCAATTATGGCTGTGTCATCAGAGAATTTCTGGAGGAGACAGGTTTCTGTGATGTACTTGAATTTGGCGGTATA